CCTGCCCCCGCTGTTCGTGGCCCACGCCGACGCCACGTGGTTGCCGACTGTGACCGCCAGTGACGCCTCCCCTTGGGGCTGTGGTGCTTGCGTGCGCCAAGCGGACCCGGCGCTGGTCGCTCGCTGGGGCCGCGCAGCGGAGAAGTGGCGCTACAAGCAGGGCGCCGCTGCCGCTCGGAGCCACGCGTTCGCCACCGACGTCGCGGAGACCGCTTGCGCTGACGACCTGCCTGACAGCTTGCGGCAGGCCGAGGAGTTCAAGAAGTCGCACGACATGGTCGAGGCGAGCTTCACAGATGCAGAGGCCCGGCAGATCGTGGAGTCCTTTCCGTGGCGGGGCCCAGCGAACATCCTGCGTCTGGAGGGACTCGCGCTCTCGAATGTTCTGCGTCACACCCTTCGGGGTCGTCGAGTTTTTGGGCGTCGTGTCCTCGCCCTCGTGGACAACGTGGGGCTTGCGCTGGCTGTCGGAAAGGGCCGCTCGGCGGCCTTTCAGCTTCGGGATGTCCTGCGAGAGCTGGCCGCGTTGACCCTGGGGCGCCGTCTTCACATGCATGTTCGCCGGGTCCCGTCCGAAAGGAATCCAGCGGACAACCCGTCCCGAGGTCTGTCGTACATCAAGCGTCAGCAGGAGCAGGACTTCACCATCCAGGCTGGCAACACTGTTCGTGATAGTGAACCTGCTAAGCCTTCCAGCCGTCCCGAGGTTCCCAGCCTTCAGCCCGATCGGCCCCTTGCCAGATGCGCTCCCTGGTGGCGACCCAAGGGCGCTGGCTGGCGGGGCTGGCAGTGCCGTCAGCGGCAGCAGCAGCGGCGCGGCGGACGCGGTGCCGCCGATCATCGCTGCCATCGGGGCCTCTCCAGGACTAGTCCTACATGTCGTGCCTCGAGAGCCGTTCAGTGGCGGATGCTACACGCAAGGGTTACTTCAAGAAGATGAGGTCGTTTCTCGAGTGGGCCCTGGAGTCGGGCCTCGACTGGAACAGTGTGCAACAACTGGACAACGCGCTGGCCCTCTACCTGGATAAGCTGTTCTACCTCGGCATGGCAGGCGATGTGGCCAGCAAGACCTTAGCGGCGGTGAAGTTCCACTCCCCGGAGGTTGGCCGCTACGGGGACCAGAGTCTGCCTCGCTCGGTCCGCGCGCTTGCAGGATGGGCGAAGGTCGTCCCACGCAAGACGCGGTTGCCGATGCCCCACGTGCTGATGCTGGCCATTGTGGGTTACCTGTTGTCGCGCCGCCGAGCTGGCGGTGGCCATCTCGCTGTCCTTCAGCGCGTACCTGCGGCCGGGCGAGTGCGACCCCTTGACGGCGCTCCAGCTGGTGCCACCTGTGGCTGCGGGAGGGCCCCAGGCTCGTTGTTGGGGCCTCCTTGGGCCCCGCGGAGCTCGAGAAGCCCACCAAGGTCGGCGCCTGGGACGAGAGCGTGGTGCTGGACGACTTGGACTTCCCCCGCCCCTGCTTGAGGCAGCTGAAGGAGAGGTGCCGCCCCCCGGAGCAACGGATCTGAACCTTCCGGCCAGGCAACCTCACCTCCGGGATCCAGGGGGCCGCCGAGGCGCTGGGCGCGGCGGCGATGGGCATCGCCGCCTACGGCCTGCGGCACGGCGGCGCGTCGCACGACCTGCTCTCGAAGCGGCGGGGCCCGCTGGAGATCAAGGCCCGAGGCCGCTGGCGCAGCGGCGCCATGATGAAGAGGTGCGGCAAAGAGGCCCGCGCCCTCGCCGAGCTGCGCAAGGCGCCGCAGGAGGTGCTGGGTTTCGTGGATTTCGGAGGCGCAGTGATGCACAACCTGCCGGACATCGTGCTGGGCGGCGCGGCGCTGCCGCGCCTCGGTTTCTGTCGACATTTTGAAACAGCTTTGGTTTGATTTGAACCGCCGCGTGGTCGAAACGACGCTCCTCGGGTGGATCTCTAGTAATGTGGTGTCAGTTGTCTGGATGGGGGCCCCATGCTGCACCTGGCCCCAAGCCCGCCACGGTCCACCGGGTTCCAGTTGGTGTTTTTTGCGCAGTGCCGAGCACATGTGGGGCCTCCCGAATCTGGATTCCAGGGCCTCCGAAGCGTGCAAGAGCGGTAACGAGCAGTTGCGTTTTTGTCTTCGGGTTGTTCGGAGCTGCCTCCGCGTCGGCACTCCCGTGGCGCTGGAGAACCCAGGGTCCAGCTGGAAAGGGAAGGCCCCCCCGCTCGAGCGCCTGGCCCGTCGACCGACAAGCCAGGCCTGCACTGTGGACTATTGTGGTTTCGGGGCGCGGTGGCGCAAAAGGGCCAGGGGGCAAGTTTGAGCCCTGAACTTTTCCATCCAGTTGCCTACTCTCTGCTATGACCGAGGCGGGATCTGCAGTCACACGTCCAAGCCCCACATTGTCTTGACTGGGGTTGATCAGAGCTCGGGCAAACTTTGGACCCGCGCTGCTGAGCCTTACCCTCCTCATGTTTGTTCCTGTTTTGCCCGGGCTCTGAAACGCAGTGTCGATTTAAATCGTTTAGTGCGAGTGCGTCAGATTATATTTTGAGGCGGCAAATGCCAGAAGCCCGTTCGGGGTGGCTAGGGGTCTTCTCTCTCTCTCCCTCCTCCTCGTTCGTGTGTGTTGTGTCGTGGTGGTGCTGTGGTGTGTGTGTGTGTGTGCCTCTCGTTCGTCCCTCCTCCTTCGTTCGTCTCGGACCGAGCTCTGCCCAGGTGCTGCCCTGTCGTGTTGGATATGCGTGGCCCGAGACACACAAAATGTCTCCTGGCCAGGGGTAGCGTCACGATGCTTATGCCGATGATGATGATGGTGACGATGATGATGAGGGTGCTGATGATGAAGATGTTGTTAATGAGGATGATGATGTTGCTGACGATGGTGATGATAATGATTATGATACTCATGTTGCTTCTAATGATGATGACGATGATGCTGGTAATGATGACGTCGATGCCGATGTCGATGATGATGATGCCGCTGATGATGATGCTGATGATGATGGTGGTGATGATGGTGGTGCTGGTGCTGGTGATGGCGACGACAAGGATTATGCCGATCATGGTGCTGATTCTCTGATAGAGATGATGCTGATGATACTGAGGGCGCTGCTGCTGTTGATGATGAGTATTATTTTGATGATGATGGTGATGATGATGATGCGTATCTCCAACTCCACCGGATTGGGGGATATGTACTTACTCTGACCGTACTGGCTCCTCACCTCCTTCTCCTCTTCCTTCTCCTCCTCCTCCCGTATGATGATGATGATCAGCAGGATACTGATGTTGATGATGACGATGCTGATAATGATGAGGACGGTGAAGAGCATGATGTTGATGATGATGGTGATTGTGATGATGATGACGCCGATGATGATGTTGCTGATACCGGTGCAGATGATTATGTTGATGATGCTGCTGATGCTGATGATGCTGATATTGACGATGACGATGACCGTGGTGTTTGTGACGATGACTACGATTCTGCTTATAATGATGATGATGCTGGTGCTGGTGATGAGGATGGTGGTTATGATGATGCTGATGGTTTGTTAATGATGGGTTTGATTGCGCCAGTGATGGTGATGGCGATGGTGATGGTGGTGATCATGATGATGATAATGATGATAATGATGATGGTGATGGTGATGTTGGTGATTGTGATGGTGGTGATGATTATGGTGATGCTTGGTGGTGATGATTGTGGTGATGACAATCATGATGATGATGGTGGTGATGGTGATGTTGGCGATGCTGGTGATGATGATGATGCTGCTGCTGCTGATGATGATTATGGTGATGCTTTTAATGTTGATGAGTATGGCGGTGTTGATGATAGTGCTGATGATGCTGATGCTGATGATCATGATGTTAAGGATGCTGATGAGGAGTGTGTTGCTGGTGGTGGTGGTGGTCAGGATGATGATGATGGCTGGTTCAGGACATGGTTCAGTGGTTGGTTGATTGGTTGACGGCGATGATGGTGATGGTGGTGACACTGGTGATGCTGATGATGATGCTGATGCTGATTATGATGAGGATGCTGATGATGATGATGCTGCTGATGATGCTGATGCGGATGATGATCATGATGCTGCCGATGATGATGATGATGATGATGATGATGATGATGCTGACGATGATGATGATGATGATGATGATGATGATGATGATGATGATGATGATGATGATGATGATGTTGATGTTGATGATGATATGATGATGATGATGTTGATGATGATGATGATGATGATGATGATGATGATGATGATGGTGGTGATGATGATGATGAGGTTGATGATTATGACGACGATGATGTGACAATGATGATGATGGTGGAGCAGATCAGCACCCTCCCAGGGGAGGGTGTGGGCGCCAAGGGGGATCGCACTCCCCCGTTCGCGCCCAGATTGCGTGGATGCCTCGAGCGGCTTGCCTGTTTGCGTGCTCAATATCTTCCGCTTTCGGAGCAGATGTTGATGATGCCTCTGGCGAGGCGCTGTTTTTCGCACTCCCAAGGGGGGGGGGCGCCATGTGGTATTTCGCTCCCCCGTTTGCGCCCAGACTGCGTAGATGCCTCGAGCGGTTTGCCTGTTTGCATGCCTAACCTCCTCCGCTTTCGATGCAGATGTTGAGGATGTCTCGGGCTTGGGCGAGGCGCTGGTCTCACTCCTCAAAGGGGGAGTCGCCGGGGTGCTCCCACGGGCCCGTTCGCGCTCGTATCGTGGGGTTGTCTCCAGGGGAGTGCGCGTTCGGGTGCCCAGCATGCTCTGCGCTGAGAGCAGGTGGTGGGGATGTCTCGAGCGAGGCGCCGGTTTCAGCACTCCCCAGGCCAGTGCGGGGATGTCTGAGGCGGTGTGCTTGTCTTGTGGCCAAGGCCTCTCACTTTTGAGAGCCTCATGGCCGTCGCGATAAAAGCAATCGTAAGGAGGAGGAGGAGGATGGACGGCTTAGGACGAAGGAGGACGCCGGAGGAGAAGTATCGAGCTGCCTCTGTGCCGCCTTCTCTCCTCTGTCCTCGCCTCGCGCCTGCTCCCTCTCAGGTGATTCAAACTCGGAGGCACTCGCACTCATACTCAGACCACTCGGGCTCAGATACACCTACACTAAGCTTAGTCATACTCAGACTCATACGCATCGGCTCACTCACACTGCTATTCACTCACACTCACTCAGACCCGCTCGCACTCAGGCTCACCCGCACTCAGACTCTCATATTCAGCCCACTCATACTCATACTCGCTCGTACCCAGACGCTCGCAACGGAAAGTGCCAGGACACTTTTTGCGCAGATGGCGATCTCCTCGCCCAGTCGGGGAAGTCGGTGCTGTCGCTCGTCTGGTAGCTGCGATGGTTTGAGCTCATTTTTTAACAGCGCCGCCAGCGCTGTCTTGAGCTCGCCTGCGCTGTCTGATATCTGCGCTCAACCTCTGCTGACCATATCGGTTTCAACACGTCGCGCCCATCGTCACCCCTATTCCTCCAATCGAAGACGCTTACGGCGAATCACCCCCGCCCCCTGCCTTTTAGAATCGCTCATGTGGCCCAGCGTTGTGGCAAGAGCTCTGTCAAGCTATCGGACCATGAGTTCCTCAAGCCGTTGTAGAAACCCTTCGGGGAGCACTTAGGGGAGGATGGCGGGGAAGACCAGGAGGAGGAAGAGGAAGAGGAGAAGGAGGAGAGGGCATCTTGGGAGCCTGTGGGGCACTCTTGGGGCCTCCTGGGAGCAAGACGGCTCAAGAGGGCCCCAAGACGGCCCCAATAGAGCTCCAAGAGGGCCCAAAGAGGCTCCCCAGAGAGCCCCAAGAGGCCCCAAAGGCTTCCATGACGCCCCTAGACGGCCCAAACGGGCCCCAAGACGGCCCAAAATTGTCCCAAAAGGGCTCCCCAAAGGATTCCAGAAGGGCCCCAAGAAGACCCCGACGAGGCCCAAGAGACGCTCAAGAACACCGTGGCTCCCATCAGCGAGCGGTGACGTAACAAGCTCTTGACACCAAGGCTCCCCAGACCGCGGTGACGTCCAAAGCTCGTCACACCAAGGCTCCTAAGAGCGAGCGGCAACGTAACTTTCTCTGAACACCAGGGCTCCCAACGGAGAGCGGCGCTGTAACAAAGCTCTTCACACCAAGGCTTATAAGAGCGAAGGGCGCCATGAGCCATCTCGTGCAAGTTCCTGAGACCCTCTTTCCGTTCCCGTGCCGGCCCAGGTCACGGAAGGAGCGAGGTACGAGTGATGACGTTCTGGTGGGGCGACATTTTGTAGGGAGGAGTATAAGGGGAGGGGCGAGGCGGGGCGGGATTAGTGGTACTTGCAAGTTTTCTTAGTATTTCCCAACCATCTTGTGGTGTAGGGTCCTCGTTTTGAAGAGACGGTGCCCCGCGTTCTCCTCCTTCCTCCTTCCTCCCCCTCCTCCCTCCTCCCTCCTCCTCCCTCCTCCCTCCTCTTTGCGTTTCACTCACCCACTGCAGCGCTTCGTGGCCCCATAGGGAGCTCCACCGAAGGCCCCAGTGTCACCGCCCGCATGCGTTACCCACACCCATGTCGGCACACCCCTCACACGTTTCGTGGCCCCATAGGGAGCTCCACCGAAGGCCCCAGTGCCACCGCACGCATGCGTTACCCAGACCCATTTCGGCACACCCCTCACACGCTTCGTGGCCCCAAAGGGAGCTCCACCGAAGGCCCCAGTGCCACCGCCCGCATGCGCTACCCAGACCCATTCCGGCACACCCCTCACGCGTTTCGTGGCCCCATAGGGAGCTCCGCCGAAGGCCCCAGTGCCATCGCCCGCATGCGTCACCCACACCCATCTCGGCACACCCCTCACACGTTTCGTGGCCCCAAAGGGAGCTCCACCGAAGGCTCCAGTGCCACCGCCCGCATGCGTTACCCAGACGCATTTCGGCACACCCCTCACACGCTTCGTGGCCCCAAAGGGAGCTCCACCGAAGGCCCCAGTGCCACCGCCCGCATGCGCTACCCAGACCCATTTCGGCACACCCCTCACGCGTTTCGTGGCCCCATAGGGAGCTCCGCCGAAGGCCCCAGTGCCATCGCCCGCATGCGTCACCCACACCCATTTCGGCACACCCCTTACGCGCTTCGTGGCCCCAACTGAGCAACGGAAAGCGCCCACTTGCGGAACGTCCTTGCTCGGCCGTTTTCTGTGTTTGAGAGCTCGCGCTCTGCGCAGTGCATCGAATCCGCATGTGCTCCCAGCAGAGACGCTCTGCTGTCAGGAGGGGAAACACACACACAGACACAATTAATCCTCGATTCCCCAGAACATATGGGAAAATATGGGAAGTGGGGGGGGGAAAACAGAAACCCAGAAAATATGGGAAGTATGGGGAATATGTTTATTTGTGTGTATTTATTTGTGTGTCCTGGGGCCCCTTCATGCTGGAGGAGGAGGAGGAGGAGGAGTAGGAGGAGGAGGAGGTGGAGGAGGAGGAGGAGGAGGAGGAGGAGGGGGAGGAGGAGGAGGAGGAGGAGGAGGAGGAGGAGGAGGAGAGGAGGAGGGGAGGGGGGAGGGTGGGGGGGAGGATCGAGGGTCGATGGGGCGACGTGGAAGAAGAAGGAGAGGTCAGTGGGTAAGAGGAAGAGGGGAGGAGGAGGAGGAGGAGGAGAGGAGGAGGAGGAGGAGAGGAGGAGGAGGAGGGGAGGAGGAGGAGGAATTCCGGTGGGGGCGCAGCAGAGCAGAGGGAGAGCTGCCGATACGGCCGGACCGAGGTATCAGATCGAGGTCGTCTCGGGGAGGTTGCCATAATTCGTGCTCTGAGTTTCTTGTGGGATGTGCCTGTGTGCCCAGGGGGAGGGTGCCCTCGAATGCTCTTCAGTTTGGCCCGCAGAGGGTCTCATGCTCCAAGTCTGGCCGTGCCGATACCTTCCGCTTGTTTCACCCGTGTTGGGGCTTCCTGGGAGGCCCTCGTCGCCACCGTTGGATTCGCTTGGAAATGCTGGTCAGAACGCACCGGAGGAGAGGCCTGGGGAGCAGTGGTGCCGTTGGTTCCTGCCGAGAGGGGGCCCCACAGCCCTCCCCGCCCCCGAGCGTGCGGGTTCTCTATCTTGGGCCCGTCGCCGGTCTATCGGCGATGGGCCCCCCTGAGCGCCGCCGCGGATGTTCTCCATCAGGGGAGGAGTCGGGCCGGGCGAAAGGGGGGGATTGGGAAAGGGGGGGTTACGAAATTTGCTGCATGCAGCTGGTGTCGGCCTCACCGAGGGGCCCATTCCTCGATACATGGCCGCCTCCGGCGCCGGGAGGCGCCGGGGAAATCAGCTACGTGAGCTGATTCTCAAACCCCCCCTTTGCTATCCCCCCCTTTCGCCCGACCCGAGAGCTGTTCGATCATTGACCCCTTCTTCTGGCTTTCGCGCCAGGGGTCGCCGAAGGCCGATGCGAAATGCCGAAGATCGCCGAAGGCCGTCATGCGACCGCCGCAGACCGACCAGGACCGAAGGGTAGCAATGGGTCCATGGTCTACACCTTAGGCGATGCTTAAGAAAACTTAAGTTTTCGGCCAGAGTCTCGATTAATTATTCTTAACTTTTCAGTGTAAATCTTAAGATTTTGATAGAAATGTTGGGTTTTTATTCAAGTTCTGAGACTATGAATTTCTAAACCCATGATTTCTTAAGCATTTCGCAGGGTGTATGAGGTTGGGGAGGCAGGAGAGGAGGAGAAGGAAAACGAGGGCCAGGAGGAGCAGGAGAATCGGGTGGAGGCAGGGGGGAAGAGGCACGAGGAGGGGGCAGGACGGTCCAGACGTACCGAGCAGGATCTTCGCACCTGTTTGGTTTCTAGGGCCTCGCGTCAGGCCTGGGGACGGTCAGAAATCCGTCCGGGATGAAGACTTGCCCAAGATGGGCCCCGGGAGATGTTTTGGGATCGAGTTTGAGCAGATCCCCGCGGTCAGCATCGTCTGGCCGATCCCCATCCCCATGAGTTCGTGGTATCTCAGCCCCACCAGGTCACCCGCCCAGGCAGGAATGGGTCCCACGAAACCCAGAGCGAATATCACGTATCCCCACCTAGGGTGGTAAGTAGGCCAGTGGGGCCAAGGCCTTACCAGTTGGGATAAGGAACGGTTAAACGATGCTCAGCTCGGGAGCAGGAGGACGAGTAGGACCCGGAGGAGGAGGAGGAGGAGGAGGAGAAGGAGGAGGAGGGGCATGGAGCAGGATCCCAAGCACGAGCAGCAGGATGAGGTGGAGGAGCAGGAGGGGGAATATGCGGCATACCTCGATGAAGACGAGGGGCGTTCCGATTACGTACAGTGAGGATGAGGACGACTAGGAGTCGCTTGTGATGGCGACACTGCTACGATGATTATGAGGAGGAGGAGGAGGAGGAGGAGGAGGAGGAGGAGGAGGAGGAGCACGAGCAAAGGAAAGAGGCTGAAGTGACAGCGGAGGAGGGCGCTGAGAGGGATGAGGGTGGGGAGCAGAAGGGGCAGCAGGAGCGGGAAGACGTGACCCAGCTCATCGCGTCCTCTTGGAGCCGCTCAGGGGCCCCGCTGGCAACGCCCGACCATCGTCGCCGCTGACGTCACCATGCATGCCTGCGGGGCCCGACAGATTCGATGTCGATACTCCATTTTCGATATCGATGTCGATTCGATATCGACCCGATTCGTGATAGATTCGATTCGATATCGATGTTTGAATGCGACCCGATCATTGTATGGCGATGCTGTGCATCCTGGAGCGACCGATTCGGCTTGACTCTGGCTCCGTGCACGACGCCGCCCGCTCCGACGCAAGCTCCGATCCGGTCCGATTTCGACGCTACCGTCGGGGCGTTGACCTAAGGAACGAGAAATAAGGAACGAGGCCCCTTTTGCCCATAGGTCACACTTCGATTTCCAGTGGAAGACCTCAGGAAAACCGAAGGCAAACTGCATAACATTCAAGGAACACCGAGCCCCTCCCCAACGAAAAGGGTTCCTTCTGCAGCGCCCCGACTGTACTGCTGGTGTCCCTGGCCCTTCAGGGACAACGGCAGGCAGGGACCCCCATGCGCCCATTCGTC